ACAGACAGACGGAGAGACGGAGAGACGGAGAGACGGAGAGACGGAGGGACGGAGAGACGGAGAGACGGAGACATAGAGAGATAGAGAGTTAGATAGGTAGATAGATAGATAGATAGGTATGTAGTAGATAGATAGACAGACAGACAGACAGACAGACAGACAGCTGCATAGATAGATGGAGGGAGACATAGATAAATAGATAGACAGAAAGGTACATAGGCACCATAGGTGCATAGATAAGAAGCTAGATATATTGTATGAATGTATGCATGTACGTATGTATGTACGTGTGTGTTTTCAAGAATACCTACGCTATTCCTTATTCGTTGACTATGTGTATTTATATATACATATGTGTATGTACATCTGTATATCTCTGTGTGTGCGCGTGTGTGTGTGTGTGTGCCCGTGAGACAGAGAGTGTAAATTTGTGTGTACATATAGATATATGTATGTAAAGTATCTACACGTGTGTGAAAAAATATGTGTATATACATATAAGTGTTTGTGTATGTATATTACTGGAAATGCATATGTACACTTCTACTGCAATAGTATACCATATCTTATGAAAAGTTCTAATTGCGCACTGTAACAACACTTGATACTACAATGTGTCATAAATCGCATATCGTGTGTGTGGTCGACCAGGGTGCACTCGGCCCTGTTACAACACAGCGACCCCTCCGGCCCGAAGGCTTAAGGGGCCAACCGCGGCCCTCTCATCCATGCTTGATGCATCGCCCAGCTCTCCGCGGGCCCGCCCCCCCAAACCAGAAAAAGCAAGATATACTCAATCCGGCGGGTTGGATGGAACACTTGGCAAGACAGCCAGCATCATTGACCCAAAGCTCTTCTCCTGTCGATCCAAATCACATGTCATAAAAAACATAACATGATGTGATATGATAAATGAAAAGCAATACAAGAAAACATTATGCGATATAATACTCTAATCTTGAACCATTACATGTTACACCATATGATATTATACAAATTGAAATCATATAATATGACCTATTACAATTGAAAATATGAAATAACATGATGTAATAGAAACATCTTAAAATATATTGTAATATAACATAGTACTCTCTTACAGCATATTGTATTATAGTAAAGTAAATTATTAATTATGCAACAAAGAAACCATAATACAAGTATAGTATCATGTAGTATTCGAGAAGCTAAGATAAGATAATATCAAATGAAATATGATGAGATGAGACAAAATATCATAGCATGTCATATAATCTAAACATAATATAAAACAGCATGACATAACCTAACGTAGCAAAAAATAGTGTGTATTTAGGTGTAGACATATGTACATACATACATACATACATACATACATACATACATACATACATACAGATACATACATACAGTTACATCTATACAATTACATACACACTGTTACATACATACAGTTACACACATACAGGTACATACATACAGCTACATACATACAGTTACATCCATAGAGCTACATACATACACTTACATACATACATTTACATACATTCATTCATTCATTCATACATACATGCATACATATGTCTGTGTGAATGTGCTTTTTGCAGAGAGCATTTCTTTGTGTATGTTCATGTGTGTGTGTGTACATCCTATGTATGTATGCATGTAACAGGTGGCTGTATTCTTGTCTTCTGTCTCGACATGAGGTGACTGCCATGAGCTCCTGCTTCTTGCAATGTAAGATCTTCTGCACTTCAACTTCCCTTCAACGACCCTCGTGCCGCGAAGATGCTACCAGGCAAAGGCGTGCCAGCCGCCGCAGGTCGCTTGCCATGATGCTGACAAGATGAAACAGGATGTGGGAACCTTCGGAACGGATGATCATAGGGTGGGCTGCTCATGGGCTCGGAATCCTGGAGATTCCTTGGAAACACCTAAGGAAGACTGGCCTTACTCCTCGAACTCAGAGCTGACTGGGCCCACTCTTGATAGGCTATCCTCGAGGAGTAAGGACTCGGGAACGCGTCCGGGATCTTTGCCGCGGACTCTGCAGTCTTCCTGTGCGAAAAATAGCTACATATGGCTACGGACCACAGAGGTGCAGACAACTGCCACGAGCACTACTATTGCCATGCTTTTGCGATGCATCCTCCACAAAGTCCGAGAGGAGTTTGCCGCTCCACACTGGCGCTCGCATCGCTTACTCGGTGCATTGAAAGCCATGCCTTGCATAAAAAACAAGAAAGACTTCGAAGACAAGGCTGCACCTCAGGCTTGTCCATGGCATATCCGTGCAGCAAAGCTTGTGCCTGACAGAAAGCCAACAATAAAGAAAGCTCGAAAGAAGCAAAGACGCTCTTGCTGGGACTTTCTCTTCCTTGCGATACGCTTGATGCCTCACCTACAGTGGCCATGGGCCAAGATGGAGAGGACTCTGCCTTCTCGGCAGACTCACGAGGTAGCGTGGAATTCAGCTGCTGCAGAGCCTGGCCAACTATGAAGCGCGTGTCGGCTGACCGCAGAATCGGGTTTGCAAAAGTTCTGCGTGCATGGCCTCTCTGAGAGATTGCGATCTACTACAGAGCTCGCGGCACGGCGCTGAGTCGCCAAGGTGGGCAACCGAAGTTGTGGCCTTCTCGAGCATCTTGGAGTAGTCGGCAATCCTGACGGGCTGAGGATCTTCCAAGAAAGAGGTCGCTGTGGCTGTTGCAGGGCAAGACAAATATGACCCGGCTAGACTAGCCGACAGCACCATTCCCGCCATTCCACGGTCGAGCGGCTTTTGACTCCGCTCGGCTTCTGCGCGAACTGCCTGCAAAAAATGGGACTCTCTCTGCGACACGACGCCGCAGCGGCTGCGCCCCATGGCCTGGGCCTGTGCCTGGGCCTGCGCCTGGGCCTGCGCCTGGGCCTGCGCCTGGGCCAGGCCGGGAGGGCCAGGGAAGCCCTGAGCGCTAGCGCTCGCGCGTGCCTGCACCGCCAGCCGGCAAAAAAACGCCACTGCTCTCCTCTGCCCCGCCGTCCCGCCCAGCCTGTGTCACACGCCCGGGAGCCTGCACTTGCACCTTATGTCCAAGAGAAGGTGCAAACGAAGTTGACACCTGGACAGTTGTTCCAGCCAGCGCATGACCGTGGTAACCGGTAGTTGTGAGACGGCTGAGAGGGCGCAGCTCCTGGACTGCGTGTTTTGAGCTGCCCCGCATTGTACATAGAGGCAATGAGTCGTTTCAGCTACAAGACACAGTCCAGAAGCGTTGGCCAACAGAAGCGCGCTGGAGAGAGCCAGGCGCGTTCCAGCTACATCAACAAGGCCAAGACAAGAAAGCCAGTGGGCGCCAGTCTCGCACAGCTTTCAGTTGCGGCCGGGTCATCTCTCCGGCCCGGAGCACGGCATGAAGAGACTGGATCGACGTTCTTAGATTCTGAGATTCTCTTGGATATTTCGACTCATGCAGGAAGTCTCTGTGTTCCTTTGTTTTCCGGTTGCAGGTAAGTCTGCATCATGACACTCTATGACAGCAACATGTTGTGGCCATGCAAACGACTTCTAGGAAGTGCTGCTATGTTGAGGTCTAAGCAGCAGTCTTCTTGCTGAGTTGATGTTGATGCTACGTGGTCCAGTCGCTCGCGGAAGCCGCGTGCTGCACTGTTGGCGTGCTGTCTTGATCGCGGAGATTTCACTGAGACGCTAGGCCGCTATAGCCGCTAGGCAAGTACGGCCAGATCCTCAGAGGGGGCTTCCAAGAGGCATCACCTGTTCGGGAAGGCCAAGCCTGCGAGCACGAGGGTCTTTTTGTGGGCTATGAGGAACTACGAGCTCACTGGAGCTACTCCCGAGCGTGATCTCGTAAACCTAGGAGTCCGGGGGGAAGAACTGGGGAAGAACATGCAGGCGATTTGACGTGCACTTCCATGCACTTCCCACTCGGTATGCGCCCACACAAAAGCGAGCACGACTTTCAAGCATGCTGCTACCATACCCGTACGTACTCAACGGACCTCGATGTAATGGCGCAATCCCCCACGCGTGCAGCCTTCGATGCCCTCGGACACGCTGCGGAGCTCTGGAGACCCCTCGCAGACCGCAAATGGCGCCGGGGTCCTGCAGACAGTCCCAGTCCTTTCATGGCGTATTGAGCGGCCTTTGCTTGGGCTTCGCTTGGCTCCTGGTTCCGGCGCTCCCACGGCCAGCCTCCCACACTCTGAAGCTTAAGCTCATAATAACTTGTTCTTGCTTCTGCGAATTTCCGCCGGCTGCTGGGTTCCGGGCCGTTCTGCTGATCTCCAACAAAGCCCAGATGCGCTTGAGGATGTCGGAGCCAGCGAGGCCTGACCCAAAACCCCCCCTTTTACGCTTCCCTCTGTCCATCACTGCTTTGCTTCCGTTGGGTCTCAGCCACCGACTCGGCAAGCGACGTAAGGTCTGTTGCGCTTCGGTCGCCAACTCCTCCAGCCTGAGCCGAAAGCCCTCAAACTGCCCAAAGATGCCTTGGAACTCGGAGAGAATCTGAGAGACGATGCGATGACTGCAGACGATGCCATCGAACGGAGAGGCGGTCCCAGCGGCTGGCATGACCTGCAACGTCGCTGCAAAGTCTTCAAGGTCTCACCGCGGCTCACGACTTTCTGAATTCCTCAGGTCCACAGTTGGGTAGCGACAAACGCTCACATTCTCCCGCCAAGCCTCTGGTACCTTTCATCGGCAACTGCAAGGCCTCGTCAGAGGCTGCTAAGCGGCTGAGCCGAGCCTAACAGAGAGAGAGAGAGAGAAGCCTCCGCTGCCGGCCCCACCTGTGCGGTCTCTTCCTCTTCGACGAGCTCTTCTCGCAGCAGCCTCAGCGCAAGAGTGTCTCGAAGTCTCTTCAGAACCTCTGCCACCCCTCAAATCTCCCCACCCCAAGCTTGCTGTGAGCAGCATGGATTCGTGAAGACGATGCAGGAAGTCAGCGCCGGGCCACGTAGCCTGAGCCAGGCATGGACAGGGCATCGCGCTTGCAAGAGGATCCATCGCCTGGGTCTCGAGGGATGTGAGAACCAGCTGCTCGTATGGCACACGCTGCGACCTTTCACAGAGTCTTGAGCGGGAGATTGTATTCCTTCACCGTCCTGTGCGGTGTGTTAACCTTGAATACGATTTCTGAGGATCTGAACACCTTCGTGCCATCAGTCTGCTCGTACAGGAGGTTGCACCTGGAAGTGTGGCGTGGCTGCGCAAGAGATGGAAGCCTTTTCAGGCTGCCCAGGGATGAAGATTGCGGAGAAGCTGCGTCAGGAACCTCACGCTGTGGTGATAGCGCGGCAAGTCAAACACCTGAGCTCGAGTTGCCTCTAAAGTGGATCTAGCTCAGGAAGGCAAAGGTCGGGGAACGACAGGCTCCTCAGGCCACAAAGTTTCCAGAAAGGGGCGGAAGGAAGCAGCGTCTGCTTGCCAACAAAAATCTGGGCCTGAGTCACGCCAAGCTTCGACAGCTTCTCAGACAATGGCT